TATGAATACAATAATATATATTATATATATAAATATATAATTTATAATACCATTAAAAGTACAACCAATACTGAAACGTAATTAAAATCTATAATATTTTACCACAATATATTTGCGCAACCATGTTTCAAGCACTAAATTAGAAAAATACAAGTTTCACTTTTATATAGACATACTACAGAAAAAAATTATCAAACGATATCTCCCCGACAGATTATTATAATGGCAGACAAGCCTTTCTTGAATATTGCACTATGTTGCACAAAACATATCGCCAGTAATTACATCAAAGTTACGTCGGAAATGCTTCATTACAACAATAATGAATAGTAAAATATAGTATCGATAATTAATGCGCCATTTGGAAAACACGTGCGAGCGACGTCGTTAAAATACTGCTACGTTGCAAGTGTAATTTAGGATTAACATCACGAACTGATATTTTTCTGGTAGGATTACGATTTCGTCATTGTCATCGCGATACAAGCTGTTGGTCGGAATGGACCATGTGTATATCGATGAAACCGCTTCGTGGAAGGGAAAAAAAGGCCATGATAATAAACAGCCGTGCCCGAAAGTAACACTCGTTCGTTGGTTGCGCCTTTATCAGTCGCTCCGAAACCCAACCTGTACTTGTCAAACTGTCAAAGTGGAGTTACGTACGGAATCGGCATCGACTCCGATCGTCGGATTGTAACCGTAAACATGTTCCTCTGCCATTAACGTTACGTTTGTTTAATTGGTACCTAATCGCCGACCGCTCTCTCTTGCTATTTAACGGACCTCACAGTTTCTCGTGTGCCATCAAGAAACCTATTTTGTCCTAACCCCCCTCCGCGACCATTGCACGATCGAGACGGATGTGACATCCGCGCTTCCGGGTTCAAAGATGGCCAGCCGTCTTTTAAATATTCAAAACACGAACCCATCGCGCTCGCACTTCACATTTATATCTTGCGACACATAAATATGAAAAATCTGTTCAAAATTTTTCTTAATTTATTTTAAATCCCCACTATACAATTTCCTTTTTATGATAAAAATATTATTTATTTCTCAAGAAACGTGGTGTAAAAACTATGAAAGTTTTACAAAAAAATTTATAAAACAAGATGCAAATTTTTTTTAATGTATATCTAAATTATGTAAATACACTTTGTTTGTATAATAAAATTAATTAATTTAATATTAATATATATATATGCAGCTTATGTAAGAAAATTTAGAATACAAAAATAATATTCTGTTTATAATACTTTTATTTGAATTAAAAATTAAAAATGTATTAACATGAAATATTATTTTAAAGCTAATTGCTAATATAATAATTTGAAAATTATTGCAAAAATTTATTTTTATCTTTTAATCATGGCATGATTCAATCTTAAAGATATATCATAAACAATAAAAAATCACAATGAGATAGCCTTACATCTGATTTACATAAGATTTTTATGATTTGGTAAATTCGATAACATTTAAATACTCATAAATTTATTGCAGTTTATTTAACTAAAAAAGATTCATTTAAGGAAACATACTGCACATTTTTATAAGAGTAAAGAATTAAAATGTTGAAAACTTTAAGAAAAAATTTTAGTAAAAAAAAAATTTTTAGTAAATTTAAAAATAAATAATTTATTTCATAAATAATTTATTTATTTTTAAATTTAGATATCTAAATTTTAAATGATCTTAAAAATTGTGATTATTATGTAACCTGAAATTTCATGTATATCTGTAGTTGCATTACTGCATTGCAAAAAGTTTCTCTCTTCTAAGTAAACAAATTTTAATTTTACTTTCAAAGAATTTTCATTTTTGTTTTTTTATTTTGTTCGCAGCGCGGAAAGAAATTGATTACAGAAATTAGGAATATCAACGTTGACTATGTTCGTACAGAACAGAGTCAATCGTGTAACTTTTTCCCTAAGGCGTGGAAAGTGAAAATTTTTTATACACATTATGCGTGTTATATATCATACATCATGCATAAAAATTTTCGTTTTTTACGTTTCTGTTCTAGAGAAAAAGTTACATACATAACATTGACAATTTTTTCTTATATAAGGACCGCCGCAGACAAAATTTCTGTAACCTTAAGACATGAATTTAAGTCGATGGCGATGAGCCAATCAGGATGCTGCTTTAGATCTACGTACTCTAACGTTATTAACGGAAACAGAAATAGCAGTGAACTTATTCATAAGGCGAGTTTCAATCGGTTGAAATTCACCTTATTGCGAGGTTATGGATAAGTTTATTGTTATTTCCATTTCCGTTAGATTACGTAAATCTAAAGCAATATCCTAATTGGCTCATCGGCTTAAGTTTACGTTTTATGGTCACTGTTGCGGAATTTTGTGTGCGGCAGCCCTAAACACTCTTAAAATATAGCCATTTCATTGGTTGGGGAGAATCTTAAGGTCACTTAAGATCTATAAGTCCGAACCTACAATAGAATATATTTTAAATCTTAAGCCATAAAAAATGGACGAATCATAGGCGGGTATTCATAATCGATTCTTATATTTGAGATTGTCTTAAGTACAGTCTTAAAGTGTCATAAGACAATCAAAAGGCCGTATTAGCATCTTAAGACGTTACTTAAGACAATCTTGAAATAAAAACGGACTCTGAATATCGCCTCTAATCAATTATCCTCGCATTCGACTGTAATTGATCAATTTCTTACAGCTTAAGGTTTAAAACAACTATTATATATATAGATCCGGACTATAT